GCTCACTGACCGACATATGGATGGATGGAGGTGGCTCTTGGCTTGCCATGATCAGTGGAGTGTATGTGTACAGTGTGTGTGCAGCATAGAGTAATGTATCCACATGTCACAAGTATGAATGCTGACAAGCTGACTGGTTTTGTCTGTGAGCCAGTAGCCAAGCTGTGTTGTCTCCTCCCCTTCTGCTCCCTAACAGTTAGACCAGGTCTCCTTCTCTACAGCCGTTACCCCATCCAGATCTTACGCCTATTTTCCCCATATGTTAACTGTTCATTCTATCATTACCCTAAAATAGTAACTATATATATAAATGTCATAATGTAGAGTGAAACATGATATCTACTTGTATAATGTTGAAGACTGGTAGATTAAGAGTAAAAACTGCTTTGTTTAAAAAAAGTAATCTTTGAATTATAAAGCTGAGCTGTATGAAAATACATATTCGGGGGGAAAAAGACGTTATGCTGTAAAGATAACGATCTCTGGCACAAAGCTGTTAGAAAACAATATAATAGATTAATGTTAAACCATGACTCATGCCATCATAATCCTATATTTTACACATCTTTCAAAACGCTGAGAAATATGGAAACATAAAAAAAAATCATTGTTGTCAGTTAATGTCGATATTTGGTTTGTTTTGCAAAGTAAAGCTATTAAAGTGGAGAGGTCTCTCGCGTCTTTTGATGCTTGTAACTCGTTACGTTGCTGCCTTGTGTTATCATTCACACTCTGCTTGGTGCATGGCAATGTTAAACAGGTTGTCCTTTCCCCATGTTGTGTTAATTAACAATAAAAGACCCAGGAGATGGGGTGGTGACGTGCAGGGAAGATGGCTCAAGCTGGCACCACTGCTCCTCCCCCCATTTCATAACACTTTTCTTTTGCTGTTCTCCGTTGGAGAGAATTACATGGCTTTTCCTTTATCCCTTCCACATCCACACACCCTCCCCTGTCTCTCCTTTGTTTTGTTTTTTTAATCCACCCAGCAGCTTTTGCACGCACTACGGCCTCACTGTTAGCATAGCCACCTTTTTTTTTTATCTGACACACATGGCTGCCCTGCTGACTTTGATCCTTAGATCTCAGTATCAAGGGGCCATTCACTCACTTGCCTGGGGAGGTGACAGAAATGTCTGTGTTTTCCTTCTGTGGGGTGAGAGAGGCCGGCTGGAAAAATGGTGTGAGGTGCAATAAGTGGAGAGTGAGAGATGACAGAGCCTGTGATCCAGTATTTCACCCTTTGAGATTTTGGGCTGGCTTCTGTGTTTGGTCATTCTGTCACATGCGACATGAATCTAATTTCTTTGCGTCTTTGTTGTTGTCTGCATGCCTGTAATCCCCTGGCCTCTATCACTGGCCATGGTGATAAAACTATTGATGTTGCCACTCATTTGTTTGCTCATCCATTCGGTCATTTAGATCCAGGGCTGTAATTTAACAAATCAATAGCAAGCTGATGGAACTATGCTAAACTGGCTGCCATCCTCTGAATTTGGAGTGACACCACTTACTCCTTTTGTCTTATTTTTCCAAGTAGCTACAGCCTTCTCAGCCTTTCTCCCTCACATATGCGTATTATTCTATTGCAGCATCTACATTTTGCTTGCAAATTGTAGTAAAGGTAATAAATCATATAAGCTGTACTTTTTAGACCGAACAGCATCAAGACCATTAGGACCATGAGCCTTTTTCTTTCAGCATACAGCTTGCTTTTTTATTACAGCTTAACTGTAGTTGCAGTTGTCTTAGTTAACATCTTTAAAAAAAAAAAAATCACTGTTGCTGTTCCTTCCTATTGATTCATCTATTGTGGCAGGATGTGACACTGATGGGAAAGCCTGTGGGTCGAAGTGTGCCAATCAGCTCTTTCACTAACAAGCTCCTGTTCTGATGTCTTCTGCTAATGATGTCCACTTCACAACAATAACCACACTGCTTTACATTTGACCCCTTTTTTCTGGTGAGGCGTCTTTTTTCCTGCCTTGCAGACCCGTTTTGTTATCGAGAAATTGACCAGAAATTGCTGTAATTTGAACTGCCAAACAAAAAAAGAACACAAGACAAGATAAAAAGAGTGTCTTCATCTAACCTCTGTTTAGGTGCATGTGTGCATCTTGGTGAACAATGTCCAAGTGCCTGCTAATAAAGGCCTAATGAAGTCCCATGGAGAAATGGCAACTGGAGAGAATTGTCCACACTCACAGATGTGAAATTTAATGAGAGACTGTGGCATGCACAGGAGCCGGGCCAAGATGGGGAATGGCCACCTGGTATTGTTTATTACTAGCATGAAGTTACAGAGTGTGTGTATTTGAGTGAGTGGGCAGTTAGTGGCTGTGTGGATAAATGCAGAAACCGTTGGTGTTCCTCCTTTGTATGTGTTTCATGCATTAGGTATGCATGAATCCACTGCATGAACAGAACACATACTGTGTGACCCCTTTTCCAGAAGAAAGCAAATGAGGAATAACCGTATTTTTCCAGTCACCTTTTGATAACTGTAGGATACTTAAAGAAAAAAGGCATTACTAGAAAGAGCAAAGGTTGCTTCACAGATTTATAATAGTATGTTAATCAACACCAAATCTTGCAATAAGCAGACTGTTGTTCAGTTAAGTCTTCACATTAAGCCTCATTTCTCTTTTTTTCAATTAACTAAAAGGAGGTGTTAAAAGAAGCTTAGGATGGATGTCGGCCCTGTAGGATTTCGACAGCTCATCTCGAGTCCTGGTTAGCATTAGTCTCCTTGCAGGGAGCCTACTGCCAGCTAGCGAGCTAGCCACCATGGGCTCGTTCTTAACAACGCACCTTAGCCTCAGGTGAGAAAGTGGCATAGTGTCGTGCTGCTGATAGCACTCATTAGTGTCTGGATTAACCCTGATTAGCCTAGCTTTTTCTCATGCTGCTTCTTCATACCAGTGGTAATTATCCCTTTATACCCTTTTCAGACTCAGACATGTGCCTAGTTTTTCTAATATATTTTATATAGCTTTTTATTCTCTTGTGGGTTTTTTTTTTTTTTTTTTTTTTAGGCCCAGCTTGAATAATAAAACGCTGCACCGCATTTTCTTTGGAGAGACTGAATGTATTTAAGCAGTTTTTTTAATTGTGTTTTTGCCAGATACAAAGTTATTTGCCTGAAAATATGAATTGTGTGTAAAGGTATACCACAATCACAGACTGAGCAGAGACCACCAACAAAACCTGTTTTGAAATTAAAGCATTGTGAGTATATAAGTCAATAAGACTTGGAGATCTGTGCATATTACTTATTGAACAAAGAGCTTTGGAGAATTTAATGAGAACATAGTTAGCTGGCAGATCACAGTTTTGACTTCATTCCACACGAGTGTTCATAAAGCCAAGCCACGCTGAGTATGACATTAAAGCAATGTGAAGGCTGTCACAGTCAAATGACATAGTGAAATTGATTTTGATGAGATTGAGAGAGGAGCCTTTAACTCGCGCTGTTCTTTCATCTTCATCCTTGTCAGTCAAAGTTAGATGCTGAAGGTGGAAGGGAAGATGGGCAAGAACTGTGGAAGGGTGAGCTGATGGCCGAGAGGAGACCAGGAGGACAGGGTGCTGAAGAGCAGTGGTGGATTCTCTCGAAGCGGGTTGCATGCTGATTTTCAGTGGCAGCTGTACATGCTGACAAAGACCTCTGGAGATGGTGATACAAATCCAGAGTGATCAGCTGGATTTTGGTGAAATTTTGCTTTGTACAGTGTACATGTCACCTAGTAGCTCTGTACACAAAATTAAACAAAAGGGACTTTAGTTGTCTCAGCTGTCTGTTTCTTCTGGACACAGTAGTGTTTATATTTACAGTACAGTCAATAACTCGAGTGTAAAGAAGCCTCTTGTGGGCAATGTTCATGTACCTGAGTGCACATTTTGACCCATATTGACCTATGCTTTGTGTTGTTGACTGTGGGTAAGAGCCAGTCCGTGGACAGTGTTCAAATGTGGAATTCCTCACATTTCTTATCGAAACAAACAGACTTGTGTTCACGTCAGGAAAACCAATGGATTATGAAATGTTACAGTGTTTTCAAGGCTTGTTTTGGAAGAGAATGTGTAAGATAAGGCATATGCAACCTGTTTTCCATCTGTTTTTGAAGCAAACATGAGATAGCAGTTATTACTGGCTGGGAAGCTAACCAGCTCAGAGTCTGATCAAAGCTTATCTTTGTCCGTTCTCTCACTAGAAAGTAACAGTCAGGTCCTTTCCTTAGTTTACTTATTCCAAAAAGTTGTGTGTGTAAAATAGAAAAGAATGTAATGATTTACAAATCGCATAAACCCATTTTTATTCACAATATAAAAAACATATCAGATGTTTCAAGAACCAGCAGAAAGAACCAATACTGAAAATCACTTTTGGATGCTTGTGATCTTTGGGCACTCAGATGACACTGCATTAAAAGCAGATGTGATTCTGTCATGGAAATCACTAAATTGGCTCTGGAACACTTTGAGACAAAGCTTAAAACAGACTGAAGCAAACTGGAAAGAAGTTCTGTGTCAACAAGCAATATTTTTGGAAAAAAATTGACTCTGACAATTCGGTTGCCTATGGAATTGTCGGCTGAGACATCTGGAAAAGCACCATTAGTGCTCACATGCTGAAAAGACTATGCCAAAAGATGTATTTGCATCTATTACAGCAGCTTGACTTCATAGTAGAAGACTCCAGGTGCTGAACTGTTTTGCCTGCAGTTGGTTTGTACGACTGTTACAGACTGGTGGAAACCCTTTCAGCAGTGCCTCATCAGGGGATGTTTTTAGGGTTATTGAGTGCTTTGCACCTAAAACAAAGTACTACACTACTTTGGTACTAAGGTTTAAAAAAGAGAAAGAAGGGAATATTTATTTTTTAATAGGCCCGATTATATTCTTCGTGTGGAGTCTTTTTAGGAATGTAGCAACATTGATGACGCAGTAATCAAAACTCTTTTTACTAATTTCTTCTTCCTCCTTTTTCTTTCTTACAGGTGGAGCGAGAAATAGCTATTCTGAAGCTCATAGAACACCCACATGTTTTAAAGCTACACGATGTCTACGAAAATAAAAAATACTTGTAAGTATCACCAGCTGATTTTGGTCCACATTTGATGTGTGTGAAATATACAAAATCATAATTGTAATGCAAACACAATAAAAGAAGAAGGAAATTTGTGTAGCAACTTTTGTGACTATGAGATATTCTTACAGTCAGCTGCTGTTTTGGACACCAGAACAGTTGTTAAAATGCCACAAATCATTGTGGTGGTCTGCAGAGCAGTTGTGATTGGTGTATTATGATTGCAGGCCAACAACTACAGCCTTAGAGGGATAGATGCTCCATTAGTATTGGCATGAAGCATTTAATTTAGTTGTGCACGCTAGGGGACTGCTAATAGGGCGAGGAAGCCTTCGTAATGTAAACACCATGACGTGCTTATCAGAGGCAACACCATGGCATTAAGAAACATTAGCCACGAAGAGCCTGCTGCAGCAGCTGCACATACACACACAAACACTGCACGCACACTCATGCAGACACTCATACATTTATCAGCTTGCTTTAGCAGTGGTGAGTGACAGCCCCATCAGTTGTTCATAGTAGACCTCTTGATCTATAGTGGACTGTTTGCCAAATAAATTCAATTAGTTTTCATTTTTAGCTTACAAAGCAAATAGGATTGGACATGCAGTGCTGTACATGTCATCTTTTAAGATGATAGGAACTGCAAAATATTATGATTCATCCTATAATTGGATTATTAAAATCACATTTTGTGCACATTGCTTCATGACTTCTGACAGACGGTCACTAGTAGCGTCACAAAAGACATTTTGCACCACAAGTGACTTGAATACACTCTGAGCTTTGCACAAGTGATGTAATTTTTCTCTTAATGTTTCTGATTCTTAGTGCGATATCTCCACCTGAAAGCCAGTAATTGATAGATATACAGCATGTTTGCAGCTTGCAGACCCAGAGCTTGAAATACTTATTATTCTGCTGGCACAAGCTGTTTAAACTGGTGTTGCGGGTGTGTACAAGAGGTGATGGAGAATTTAAAGGAGCCTGAGAGGAATTTTGGTAAAAGAAACAAACTATATCAGAGAAATTCTTCAAGTAGCCTCAACTAGGAAATGCAAAATTTCTTACAAATCAGATAGTGTATGATTTTTTTTTAATTTTTTTTTTAGCCTAAGATGTATTGATCTTAAGTTTGTTGTTGTGAATCCTTAAGCAATCAATCAAGGAGTGCAAGATCTACTGTTGTTGTAAGAAATTTACATACACTTATCATGGGCATGAATGTCATGGTAATATCATTTTCAGTGATTTCTTTGAGCTGTTGTGGAATAATTGCACAGCATAGATTTTTAATGACTTTAAAAAACAAGAATTTGGTCCACAAGTTAGAAAATATTTATTCCCTCCACACGGGGACAAAATTATAAATACAGGTCAAATATTTGCATACACCCCCACTAAGGTTTGGTTAAAAGGCCCTTAGCAAATCGCACCTTAATCAGATGTTTTTGGTAGTCATCAACAAGCTTGTAGCATAATTCTGGCTGGATATTTGACCACTCTTGTAGATAGAATTGGTAGAGTTCATTTAAAGTGCTTGGTTTCCTGGCACAGACCTGCCTTTTAAGAACAGTTCATAAATTTTCAATGAAGTTGAAGTCTGGGCTTTGAGAAAGCTATTCCAGAAGCTTAACGCTAGCTTGCTTTATTCATTCCAAAACCAGTTTTGATGTATCTTTGAGTTTCCACCATCTAGCTCTCAAACTCTAATTTATTTATAAGGTAAAAACCAAAAAACCCAACTTATATTGACCAAAGTGCTGTACCACATATTTGATAGAAGTAAATAGGCAAAGAGAACAGAAATAAGTAAACGTATGCTAGCAGGTGCTAAACATATACAGTCATGGCTGAAAAAAAGCATAGGCGACACAATGAGTAAATCAGACAAACTCAAATTCCTAATAAGTTTAGGTTTAGTTTTAAAATACTCAGTGGAAGGAGCAGACTTCACTGTGAGGGAAATGCTGTTCTACATTGCTAACACTCCTATGATTTAAAATCCAGAGTAGCAGACAGTCAGAAGCATGTGATCAGCTGACTGGAGAAAACAAGAAGTCAAGTAGCTGTGTAAGAGGTTGGACATGTAAAAAGGAGGCAGGTCAAGAAGAGCTTTACAGACAACTTTACAGAGCAAGATCAGAGGATCTTGAAATCACTTCTAAACTTCACTGGCAATAAGTGGAGAATAGCTTAAACAGATTAATATGATTTCTTTTTGAGGTGCCTTTGAGCAGCCTAGCAGCAGTATTTTGGGCTGAGCTGAATCAGAGAAGGAAAAAGCTATTTTTAACCACTGAGTTAATTTGCTTATCTTAAAGCCAGATTCAAATATCACACCAAGATTTCTGACCAAAGAAGAAGTTGTAAGAACAGGTTGGGACCTAAGACGGAACCCTGAGGTACCCCACAATAAAGTGTAGCTGTGGAAGAAGAATTGTTTCCAAAGCTGACACAGAATGGTCTATTTTTGAACCAGTGTAGTGCCAGCACAGAAGTGCAGGCATTGTAGGGGATGTTGTAAGCAATGGCATCACTGAGATTAAAGAGGACAAGGACCAGGTATTTTCTTGATATGAAGCTGAAAAAAAATCCTAATTTTTCTATCAATTTTGAGCAATCTACAAGTATCACTCATAGCAAAACAGCTCCATAACATGATGATTCCACTACCATGCTTGACAGCTGATATAGTTTGGTTAGGTTTGAAGGCCCCACCTTTACTCCTCTAAACATACTGCTTGTCATTGTGGTCAAACAGCTCGTTTTTTGTTTTGTTTGACAGTAAAATTTAGATTTAGAACTTTTATATAGTTCTAGAAATTTAGAACTTTAGAATTGGAGAAGCTTCTTGGATAAGAGCTAAAACATCTTCAAGAAACTTCAAGAAAAAGTTCAGTCGCTTTCTTTCCAAGCTCCTTAGACTAACATGACCTAGATGACTGAGAACCTACACAGCCATATCTGACAATAAATCTTTTTTCTTGAAGACATTTTGCTTATACATGTGGGCAGCTGCTAATATTGGTCGAGCCCAGGGGTGTGGATTTTGGGACAGGGGCTTTTATCTTGGTTAGCACCCTCACAGTCTATGGCTATGTAAAACTCTGTTCACCGTGTGACACTGTTGTTTCCGGTTCTTGGCAGGCTTGAGCCTTGGGGGGTTCCTCGGTTGTTTCTGAACATCCTAACCAGTTTCCTCTCATCTGAGGTTGTCAGTTTAGGGCTTCCAGACAAGTACAAGTTATTCAGTTGTGACACTTCTGAATAACTTGTACTTGCATACAATTGTTTGAACTGTTGATCTTGGAATCTACAGTTGTTTCCAAATAGCTCCAAGAGACCTTCCCAACTTGTGTAAGTCTACAGTTCTTTTGGTCTTCGCTGAAAGCTTCTGACCACAACTGTATGTCTATAAGAGTTAATAGTAGTAGTAGAATTTTCCTAAACCTTGAATACTTTAGCTTAGATATAATATTAAATCTGAAAGGGAAATCCTGATTCTTGCATCATAATAAAGCTATTTTTTCAGAGACAAATACAAATTTAAAACAGAATAATCGGAGGAATTACAGCAGTAACAAAAATGTATCTTTTTTTAGGGTAAACTCAGTGGAGCATCCTGCCTGAACGCCAGTATTTTAAGTCACAGACCAGAAAACTTACCTCACAGAGAAATTAAATTTGTAGCCATCCTTATTCTGCATGCAAAATGTATGTGTTTTTGTAATTTGTGATCACTCACTTGTGTTTGGACTGGTTGTTATTTTTGCCAAAGCTGCCGAGGCTTTTCCAACAAAGGTTTTGCCTTTGGACTGAGGGCTGTTTAATGAGCACATGCGCTGTCACTAGTTACAGTTTGAGACGCCATATGTTAATAAAATGAAAGAGACCCATGTGCACCCTAATATCCAGAAGGGGAGAGACAGAATATTTTACTATCAGTCTGGATTTCACTTTGTCCTAGTGAAGATGGAGTGAGTTTGAGTACAGGATATATGAGCAGTTGAGATCGGAGCAGGGCCGGGGCACTCCTTGCTTTCAATCCACAGACGCAGCTGCAGGCATGGGTCAGTGAAGATTCATCTCCTCCCTCTCCCCTTTGAGCTGCAGAGCATGGCCACACAGTCAGGATGACAGAATGCTTGGCCACACAGACTCAAAGGCCACCTGACGAAGGGCCGCATGAAATGATGAAGTGATGGCAAGGAGTGTGTGTGTGTGTGTGTGTGTGCTATGAAACTAAGTAGATGGACAATAGATCGCCAAAGAATTATAAAAAAGATTAATCAGCATGATATAGTTTTTCAAAGATAAAGATTTGAAAGCTTGTTAGTCTTTAATCTATGTGCTTCGAGGGAACTATCATCCTGCCATTGCGCCATTTCTCAGAAACCTTAGAGGTCCAAGGTTTTTCTTTTCTTTAGGGCTTTGTAGAGAGTGCAGGTATTTGTTCTGGCAGGTATTTTTCTTCTTTCTGGGTGCATGTATGAGAGTTTTTTCTCATGTACTCTCTTGATTTCGTTCCTATTTCTTTGTCTCCTCTATGTTTCTCAGGTACCTCGTGCTAGAACACGTGTCTGGTGGTGAACTGTTCGACTACTTGGTGAAGAAAGGCAGGTTAACACCTAAAGAGGCCAGGAAATTTTTCAGACAAATCATGTCTGCCTTGGATTTTTGCCACAGTCATTCCATATGGTAAGTGACATCCTCATGAAAAACATCCTGTCATAGCTGCTGCTACTGTGGAGGGTGTAAAGGGTTGGATTGCACTTATGGAACAGGAGCTAATAAAGATACTGAGTGAAACAGTCCAATCTTTTTTTTCATTGATACTCAGCAGTGTTTTTGACATTTGGAAAACAAATATAGTTTTGACATAAATAAAAGTCATATTCTCAAATATACATTGATAAAATAAATGCTTCAATATTTGAGATGTAAGAAAAAATATTGAATTTAAAATTGTAATAAGATTAGCTGTCCTCTGCATACATACAAATAGGACTGTAATACAAGAACTTTGTGAAAACCACAGACTAGATGTAATATTTGAGATACTTGGAGTTAAACCCATAAGAGGCACATTCATTATGTGTAATCCATAAAAAACATCAGTTACATTTAAAAAATGTGTAAAACTATCATACCCAGGAGGCGTAACAAAGTCAATTTGGTTGTCATACAACATTGAACAAATAATGAGTTCCCCAGTAATGACTTCTGGAAAGATGCAGACTTTTCCTAAAGTGAATCTATAATGTAAATTTCAGTCAGTTTATTCAGATCTTTGGAGTGCTGTTTAGTTTTCATACCAATCATTCATTATGGAGATTACAGAATGGAAAAAAAGCCCTTAATATTGCTTATTTTGCAACATGTTTGTGAGTATCGCTGACATGTGGCAAAGAGAATCTCAGACACTTATCTGAATCTATATGCATTCTTTTCAAACAAAATCAAAAGGAAATATGAGTTTGTTTATCGTGAAGCAGATAAGCCATGACAAATCAGTGAAAAAGATGTGGTGTTAACTTGAAAAGTTGAAAATATGATTCAGTGAGAAGCAGAAGGGACATTTTTTTCTCAGTAACATGATAAATTAGGCCTGTGCAAAGGTCTCAGATCACTTTTCAGGTGTCTCTATTTATTTCTGCAAACCTGCGAGGTTAGGCAGAGTGAAGGCAAGAGTAGAAACCCTCTTATCAGGAAGGAGGACAAACAGACATACACAAACTCTGGAATAGTAAAAACACATCCTGTGGAAGAATAAACGTCAGAACTGGATGACCGTACCTGCTGTAGTGTGTGTGCTCATTTCTCTTCTTCTTGATATGAAATGTTTTCATAGTGAACCCATCTATATTTTATATTCTGTGTCTTTTGGAAGATTACTTTTGCACGACAGTAAACCTGTTCTAAACATAATTTCCATAACATGCTCCAACGTGACACATTATGTTTGACTTCGGGGGTAATTTAACTGTTTACCAGCTCATAGGCTAGAGGCAATCATATAGACCTCAGAAGTCAAACATGTCAGCAGGAGACTGATTTAGGAACCTCGTTTGTTTGTATGTGTTTGTTTCTTGCTTTCTATGTGTGTGTGTATATAGGGTGTGTCGTGTGGAGATTATACGTAGTGAACATTTGTTTTCCTAAACAAGGCAGTGTGTTTGTTTCTGTGTTTTAGAGTGTATTCTTTTATTCTGTGTTTTATCAGCGTCTTCTTACATGGCAGAGCACCAGGACCATAGAGCTGAATAATATCAAATGCATTTATTTTTACCTTCTTGAGGAATAAAAACTGGAAATCTCCAGCTACTTGCCAGAAGCTGCAAAAGGAAATTGCAAGATTCAACATATAGACAAAATATAGTCCTACATTCAGCTACTTGAAATTTATAAATACTTTGTGTATTATTTCCTAAATCAAATAACAGCTGGGTCTGTTAATGTAAAACAAAAATTAACAGGATGAGTTTAATTACATAATCTAGTAACATAACACACATAACAGTAAATTCACACAAGTGAAAAATGTTAAAAATTCTTAATGACAGGTTAATTTGGTGAGACGTGGAGAATTGGAGAGGGAACCAAAATGCAGGACGTCCGAGGCAGACAGATTACACAAAAAGGGAGCTGCTTATTTAGGCTGAACTAAAAGTCCAAAAAACAGAAACGTCTACAAGGAAAAATCAAACGCTATCCATATGCTGGCAGGGAACGCACAGGGGATATAACCAGAGAGCTCCACAAAGAACGGCAGGTGAAGAACAGAGTTTATACACACAGAAGGTTGATTAGGGAGGAGACACAGGAAGGTAACAATTAGGAAATCGAGGGAAGACAGACAGGAAGTAAAACTGACATACGTCTTATACCTAAATACTAAAAACTTCAGTGCAATTATGAGACAGGGAAATACAAAGGGATTAGAGGAGACGGAGGGAGGACTAAGACAACAATCTGTACCAGAAAACCTATAAAATTAACTTGTCCCTAGAAAAACAAATTCAACACACAGTAGAATAAGAAGGAATTAAAATGGCGTTCTAAACTCCAAGTACTAGCACAGAAAACCTAAGCAAGAAGTCAGACTTGAACATGTTCAATCAAAGTTTGAAACAAAAATAAAGAAAAAGAGCACTTCACACTGAATAAAGATGAAGATAGAAAGTCTAACCAGTCAGCTAGAAAGTCAAAAAAAGAGAGAATGGAAAAGGAGAAAAAGAGAATAGCCACACCATAAACCAGAATGCAAAACTCAGAGAGCAGCCTAAAACATAATACAAAAGGACAAATGGGAAGGAAAATGGTACAAAAATACACTCTTTAAGTGAATAGAATTCAAAAGTTATGAGAACAAAACTCAAAACAAAACTGTGGCAAAAGACCATCACATTCATATTATTAAATTATTGATACACCGTGTACCTGAGGCCAATCATGAAGTACAGTAGACAAACCTGCTGCTACACAACAGAACTAAAAAATAATAGAACTGGAGTCATGTTTGTTTTAGTAAATGTGCTGATTGTTTTCACGAGTTAAAAATTCCTGCATATTTATCTACCTGCATATTTGCCAAAGTATGCATATAAAAGTTCTTTGGAACAAGAGTATTCACTCTGCTTTTGTTGTTTGTGTCAACTGAGTCAACGTGGTGAGTCAGATTTCACTTCAGCAAAATTAATGTTTGAATAAACAGTAAAGCGTAGCTAAGGTGCTGTACACAACGTAGGGCAAAGACTAGATCAGGGTCCGTGTTTACTTGCAGAAGTAACAATCAAAATGTGCTCATTATCCAGCACATTATGATTTTGTTTTCTTGCTGATCACACTGTGATAGTCATCACTGGCAAGGGCTTGAGATTTAAACTAGGAGATCATCATAAAACCCTAGCGTAGCCATGGCCAGGCCATGGCCATTGCATTTTTCATTGGCACTATAACTGTTTCCAGTTATAGCCAGTCAACTCATGATGATAATGTATGCCCATCATAACTTTTGTGCCAAGGCTATGTGGCTGAAAGTGCTACAAAGAGACACAGAGGCTTTTCTATTTCTCCGTGCACAGTAGAGTATTATACTGATGAAAGAGACGACTCTAAGCCAGTGAAAAACAGCATTCAGTACTCCTTTTAACCTGGAGCGTAGTTGTGAATGGCTCCAATGTAGATTAGTATAATGTTGCACAGTTAATTAAGAGGAAAAATTAAGGTAATTTGTCATGGAATTATACAGTGCAATTCTTATGATTAGATATTATTTGTATTTTACTACATAGTTTATAAACGACCCTCTTCCAGTATGGCTGTTGTTATTTACTTATTTGTTTGTTTTTTTAAATGAGAGCTCTTGTGCACAAGCTGCTGCTTTCTTCAGACTAACTTTACACTTGAACTATCTTTAGATGATGCAGTCACCTTTATTTTATTGTCTGAACCATCAAATGATGCTGATGCATTTAAACTGGAACACTTGGAGGGGTGAACCCTCCCCCCACAATATAATTGTTGCACAAGCAAAAATAGAACAAAACTGTTCCACCTTAGGAAGGAATAAAAATTAGAAGTCTTTTATCATTCCATGTAAATACATTTCTGATAATGGCTGTGAGAACAGATTAGATCAATTAGGAGGAAGCATCTGGAGCTGATGTTAAGTGCATGCACAAAGATAGATTATCAGAGCTGGGCAGTTTTACCTCTCCGTCCCTGTTTTACTTTGTTGCTGTCTCACTGTCTTAGCTCCTCAAATCCCCTCACTAACACTCTCAGAAAATGATGCCTTGTAAATCTGTCATGAGGAGGATTATTTGGGAGTGTTGCTACACCGACTCGCCCTCCTCCCAACCTCAATTAGGGCCAAACAGACAGGCAGACGCAGCCCTTCTCACCTCCCTTCCATTCTCACTAGTGAGATCCCAGCATCCCCTCAATAAAAAAGTGTTTCTGCAATCATTCCTTCCATTTTGACTTGTCTGCACAGGAGACCTACGCAGGCCATTGAAGTGCCCCTTTTTTCTCTGTGACTCACCGTGCAGAGTGGGGGTAAACACATGCTCCTCAACCTTTCTTCTCTCTCATTTTTACTTCTTCACATTTCCTCATGCTTCCGTTTTCCACCCACGTCTTATCCCCAAATAAGATCTCTTCAGCTTGATGGATGTAAGGCTTGAAATAAATGAAATAATGTAGGGGAAAATGGGGGTTTTATGACTCAGTGTTTTCTCTCCCTGATTCAGATTAGTCTCTGATTCAGAGTAGTCTTTTTTTTTTTTTTTTTAGGGAGAGAAGGGGACAAAGTGAAGCACACGGGGATAGCTGCCAAGGGAGATGAGGCAAAGATAGGTACAGCTGGGGTAAAAACCGATGTGCGAAAATAATCTTCATTGGAAGAAATGCATAATAGATGCTGCAGCAGTGAGAGAAAAGCATAAATATAGATCTAGTGTCAAACTAGCTTCCTATTCCCCCTTTCCTTCTCATTAAGACATGCCTTGTATTTGTTATTTGAAGTCTTCTGAAGTGAGATGTGCAAACCTGTGACTCACACAGAGACGGACTGACTGGCAGACTGGTTAGAGCACAGATCAGAGCACAGCGCGCCTATGATAATATGACATTTTACTGATCTTTGTAAAAAATTTGTCTTTCACTTGCTCCTGTAGGGACATCAGAGGTCAACT